CACATACTGGGACATTTCATTCCTTTCTCAGAAAACTAACTGTATATAATTTGGCCACAAATTTGCTTCACGATGCTGATCCAGAATATTTCCATACTATTTTAATCATAGTGCTTTAGTAATTATAATAAAAATAAAGAATAAAACAATGTTTATGCTTTCATTCAGTTTTACTATCTACTTTGTGCAAAACAGAGAACTGTACAGACAAAACAATTTTGCTGTGAAAAACAATAGTTTTTTTTAAATGTACATCTTTAAAACATAATGTTTTTTAATAAAATGCATTCAAAAAGAGAGCAAATATAAACAATTTTGAGAATATGCATAGTATATTAGTGAACTATAAAACCCACCAGAAGGGCTGAGAAACCTTAAATCTAAAACAAAACTATGTTCCCTAAAACGCTGGACCGAATTTACAGACAAGGACTGAATATTTAGTAACACAAAACTTGTGACGGATGTTACCTTTAGTATTTTTCTTATTTCCTTTCACAAAAGGTAGCTAAATTTTAAATTTGTTCAAGTTTTATTAGTCCGCGAACCAGGAAGTGATTCTGTAAACAAAAAGCAGGGCCGTGTGTGAGACCCCAGTCACGTGACACGCAGCAGCAATAGGAATGCAACTTTGCGGTACCTAGTTAACAACAACAACATTTTATTGGCAAATTCCCAATATTTAAGATTGAAAAAATATTTTCGTACAAGTACTTATGTACAGAATGTTTTTAGTTAACCCTAAAGCTACTGAGGTTCAGAATCGGTATCCAGCCACAGACACACACCCAGCTAGTAATATATCACACACACCTAGTGCCACAAAACAACTTAATAATGTACAAAATAATCCGTGTGCATCCTACTTACCGGTGTTAGTCCGTTTCTCCCAATCAGTATGTCCTAAAAGCTCTGCACCGCTCCCTCGGCCATGAAGAACACGTGGGTGCTTGCAGCTGGTTGTGACCGGCTGTGCGCTCTGGCTTGAGGAAGAGACGGTGTAGTCACGTGACTCACGCCAGCTATATAACTTTATTAAACAGAAATGTTATTACTTATTATTTTTGTTATTGTTGAGGGGGCACAAACAGAAAATTCTTTAAAAAAAAATCATTAAACCTCAAAAAGGGCACTTTGGGCACATGGGACAAAAGGGGCAGGGTCTCGGCACCCTCCCCCCCCCCCCCCCCCTCTGCACGTGCCTGCATGCCAGTCATGTGCTTTGAGATTTATTAGCTTGTAAAAGTTTGTAAATAGCATGACTACACACCAGAAATCGGCGCGTCGCATATGTGACGTCACCACATAATCTCCTCTCCCCTAGCATAGCTGCTACTCATCACATGACCAGATTTATGGTGGTTCTTTCCTCCTGTGGGAAGTTTGCTGAACTTACAGCCCTTTTCCTCCAGTTTCTCCGTGTCTGGTTCGATGACGTCACTTTCGTGAAGCGCATGTGTAGTCCTGGACTTATTTTCACACAAAACCTAAAATAGTGGTTCCCCCTGTTAGAAAATAAGCACGTTCTTGGTATCAAAATGTGTCTTTAAAATTCATGGACATCATGTGTGAAATCCATGGCACAAAACAAGCAGAATTAGAAAATTGCGTTTTTAGCTCCGTTGACTTGCATTCATTTTTTCATTCTTCTGGGGACCCGTGATGCGTAAGTGGATGGGCGTGACTTAGATTCCCTATTGACTTTGGAGAGTGAGGAGACGTATCCAACATGGGCAACGCTGTTACGCTCTCCAGGGCCCAATGAGACGTCTATGTTTTCTTATCTATGGCTACAACATATGTTACCGTTGCTAGGATGCCCAATGAAGTGCAGGACAGCTGTTTCCAGCTCAAAAGCAAGTGAAGTAAAAGCGCAATTGGTCAAGCTTTGTTGTGGGTGTGGCCACACATGGCTAATTTGCAAATATCAGAAAGATTTAGCTCACAGATTTAGTTTTAACATTTAGATATAAATTTAACTTTTATATATAACTTTTACATTTACATTTACCATTTAGACTGAGATTTAACTTTTACACTTAGCAATTAGATTTAGGTTTATATTTAGGTTTATATTTAAGATGTAGATTAGTTGAAATTATGTGACATTTAGAAGATTTTTAATGGACGTAAAAACAAACAGTCGCAGTACCCGGCCTGGAGGGTTACCGGGGTCCCACCCTCTAGCCAGGCCTGTGGTTGGGGCCGTGAGCGAGCGCCTGGTGGCCGGGCTTTTGCCCATGGGGCCCGGCCGGGACCAGCCCGAACTGGATACATGGGCTCATCTAACTGTGGACCCACCACCCGCAGAGGAACATTAAGGGTCCGGTGCAGTGTGGATCGGGTGGCAGACCGAGGTGGGAGCCTTGGCGGTCCGATCCCCGGACAAGGAAACTGGTTTTTGGGACATAGAACGTCACCTCGCTGGCAGGGAAGGAGCAGGAGCTTGTGGCAGAGGTTGAGCAGTACCAGCTAGATATAGTCGGACTCACCTCGACACATAGCATTGGCTCTGGAACCCAAGTCCTTGAGAGCAGTTGGACACTCTCCTTTGCTGGAGTTGCTCTGGGTGAGAGGCTGAAGAAGGAGGCCTACAGGGCGTGGCTGGTCTGTGGGTCTCCGGAGGCAGCAGATGGGTACCGAGGCAAAATCTCGGGCGTGGGAGGAGTTTGGTGAGACCATGGAGAAAGACTATCGATCGGCGCCAAAGAGGTTCTGGCAAACTGTCCGGCGCCTCGGGAGAGGAAGGCAGCAACTCGCTCACACTGTTTACAGTGGGGATGGGGAGCTGCTGATGTCAACTGGGGCTATAGTCGGGCGGTGGAAGGAATACTTTGAGGAGCTCCTCAATCCCACCTACGTGCATTACGAGGAGGAAACAGAGCCGGGAGACCTGGGGATGGCCAGTACAATCTCTGGGGCAGAAGTTGCTGAGGTAGTCAAACAACTACACAGCGGCAGAGCCCCGGGGGTGGATGAGATTCATCCTGGGTATCTCAAGGCTATGGATGTGGTAGGGCTGTCGTGGTTGACACGTCTCTGCAACATTGCATGGTCATCGGGGGCGGTTCCTGTGGAGTGGCAGACCGGGGTGGTGTTCCCCATCTTTAAGAAGGGTGACTTGAGGGTGTGTTCCAAATATAGGGGGATCACACTCCTCAGCCTCCCCGGGAAGGTCTACTCCAAGGTACTGGAGAGGAGGGTCAGATCGATAGTTGAATCTCAGATTGAGGAGGAGCAATGTGGTTTTCGTCCTGGCCGTGGAACTGTGGACCAGCTCTATACCCTTGCAAGGGTGATGGAGGGGGCATGGGAGTTGTCCCAACCAATCCACATGTGTTTTGTGGATTTGGAGAAGGCTTATGACCGTGTCCCCAGGGGCACCCTGTGGGGGACTCTCCAGGAGTATGGGATGGGTGGCTTTCTGTTAAGGGCCATTCAGTCCCTTTACCAGAGGAGCATGAGTTTGGTCCGCATAGCCGGTAGTAAGTCGGACCTGTTCCCGGTGAGGGTTGGACTCCGCCAGGGCTGCCCTTTGTCACCGGTTCTGTTCATTACCTTTATGGACATAATTTCTAGGCGCAGCCGTGGTGTGGAGTGTGTCGAGTTTGGTGGCAGGAGAATCTCGTCTCTGCTTTTTGTGGATGATGTGGTCCTCCTAGCTTCATCCAGCTCTGACCTTCAGCTCTTGCTGGGTAGGTTTGCAGCCGAGTGTGAAGCGGCTGGGATGAGGATCAGCACCTCCAAATCTGAGACCATGGTTCTCAACCAGGAAAGGGTGGCTTTCCAACTTTGGGTTGGGAGAGAGGTCCTACCTCAAGTGGAGGAGTTCAGGTATCTCAAGGTCTTGTTCATGAGTGAGGGTAGGAGGGATTGGGAGATCAACAGGTGGATTGGTTCGGCGTCTGCAGTGATGCGGACGCTGAGCCGATTTGTCGTAGTGAAGAGGGAGCTGAGACAGAAAGCCAGGCTCTCGATTTACCGGTCGATCTACGTCCCAATCCTCAACTATGGTCATGAGCTTTGGGTAATGACCGAAAGAATGAGATCACGGATACAAGCGACCGAAATGAGTTTCCTCCGTATGGTGGCCGGGCTCAGCCTTAGAGATAGGGTGAGGAGCTCGGACATTCATGAGGGACTCGGAGTAGAACCGCTGCTCCTCTGGATTGAAAGGAGTCAGTTGAGGTGGTTTGGGCATCTGGTCAGGATGCCTCCTGGACGCCTCCCTGGGGAGGTGTTTGGGGCATGTCCTGCCGGCAGGAGGCCCCCTGGTCGACCCAGGACACGTTGGAGAGGTTATATCTCCAATCTGGTCCGGGAACGCCTTGGGGTCCTGCCGGAGAAACTGGTGGAGGTGGCTGGGGAGAGGACGGTCTGGAGCTCCCTAGTTGGGATGCTGCCCCCGCGACCCGGACCCGGATAAGCGGAGGAAGACGATAACGACGAAATTATGTGACGTTTAAACATTATTTTAAGTGTGAAAATAATTTGCTAAATGTAGTGAAAATGCTAAAGGGTTAAAAAAAACGTTAAAAAAAGTCTGCTAAATAATTTGCACTAGCAATTTACACTTGGCACCCCATACCTGTCTGCCAAGTAAGTTAACTCATACTTTACAGGTATGGAGACAAGCATGTCAGGAAAGAGAAATGTGTTTTAAACGATTGCTGTATTCTGGTCTGTCACACTGAAGAAACTTATTCATCATTTCTGCCAATAGACCGCTTTATTTTTGCCAGCCATTGAGTAATTATTGCTACTCCTCAACCCTGTCCCTCAGTGGCCTACATGTTTTCCACGTTGCCCTTCTAAACACCTGTGTTCCCCTGCTGCCTCACACCAGACTTACATGAATGAGTGATTAACAGGCATCTGCAGCCCTTGATGTTCTCCTGAGGAGGCAATGTAAATATGTGAATAAGGAAATCTTGTTAGGTTTGTTATTTTTGTGTAGTTTTTTACACGTTTGCTAGCTCCTGGTGCATTTTTATTTGCAGAGAGTACTTTGGAGAGAAGGTGGCTCTGTACTACCTGTGGCTGGGCTGGTACACCAAACTGCTGGTTCCAGCTGCTGCTCTGGGTGTGGTCGTCTTCCTCTATGCATTGGCTTTCTTCAACACCAACCCTCTCATGTGAGTAGGCCTGGTCACATGAAACTCATGCCAAATCATCCTTATTGTAATGTTAGATAAATAGTATGTTTGGTTAAGTAAATTGCTTAAGAGCTATTTATATTATTAACACTACTTGTGATCAATAAGTGGTGATACTCTATTTAACTAGAATATCACCTGCTTGGTCTTGTTGTTTTAGTCAGTAGATTCTAGGATTCTTTATTCATTAAGGGATTGCACACACTTCGTTTGATTCAAGAAACAGTCAGGTTTATAACATTTAAGAATTTATTTTACAAACAGTTAAGACTTGACAAATTGGTTAAACTATTATACTGTATGTGGATGGAACTAAGGATGGTGTCAGGAAGTTATGTGTGAATATAGTGTATTCAGAGTCTCCGTATCTCAGAAATCGGAGTTCTGGATGGAACAAACTTGGTTTGCAAATAAGCTAGAAAGATGTTATCAGAACCACATTCAGATGCTATCTCGCTGTTCTGCCTCCCCCATTCTGAAGACCCCCGTTTGGATCCGAGATGTCAAGGAGCCGACAACCCCACTACACGTGGTTCGTAGAGGAACCTCGATGCGACCAAATCAGTCCTGGGATGTCTCCGGGTCACAACGATAGATGAAACCGAGCGTGTTAAAAATAACTCTGAAGGAGTTTGCGTTAGCTTTGTACTACAGATACTATCTTGTTGTTCTCGGCTTTGCAGGTGCGAAAAAGGTTTAAGGTTTTGACAACATGTCAAAATCCTTCTGGTGAAAGAGGCTTTCGCTCAGATGGCCAGTCTGACGCTTTTGTCTAGAACCCTCGAACTGTTGAACTGTTCGAACTGAGGGAAAAACCAGAGGGACTAGTTTTAATGGATTGATGTTATGATGGACTAGCCAACCACAGCTTGACAGGTTTGAAGATATTACAAAGCATCTTAGAACACACCCTCATCGATGTGGAGACTCTGAATCTGGGTAAAAGGTTAACTATGTATCTTGCGTTAACTTAACTTTACTTTGTCTTTGTATGAGTGTGCACATGGTGATGACCTCATCCAGTAAACACGCTAAGCATATATCATTAAACAGATCAATGAGCATTTCATTGTTCATAATTATAAAATCTTCTTTCTTCTGGGAATAAAGGAGTTCATTTAAAAGAGTTTCTCTGTGAAGGACCTTGGAGGAGAAAGAATGCTATTTTTTTATCCTTTATTATCTCTCAGGCCATTATTCCAGCTGGTGTGAGGAAGCTGGCTCTGATCTAAAGGGACTACGTGTAAACATCCAGACTCCTGTGAGGGGAAAACATTGTAGGTTGTGTCATAGCCAGGTTAAGTTGACCTGGCTGTAGATCTTGACCTATGGGATCTCAAAATCAGGCCATTTCATGACGTTACATAATCATTACAGCAACGTCGTAACGTACCAGGTGGGAATTTAATGTTGGTTGGCTCAGGAATCCCTTGGTATATTTCTGTGAAAACCAGAATACAGGTGTTCCTAATATTCCACACATCCACCAAAAATAACACCTTAAAGATCTGAAAGAATTCTGGGAAAGCCTTCTGTGGACCGAAGAGACAAGATTAGCAGTTTCATGGTCTGTAATGGTGTCCTTACCATGCTGAATCAGATGAGTATCATTGTGTTTCTGTCCACAGTAAGGAGGTGTGTCACTCCAACATCACCATGTGTCCTCGCTGTGATGATGACAGGTGTCCGGTGTGGCAGCTCTCAGTCACCTGCACATACGCTAAGGTGACCTTCTCCTCCTTACTGTAAAAATGATACCAGTGGGTATATACACGGTATACACAGTATATAAAACGAATCCAGCCAACACACAAAGATGGTGAATGGCCTGTGTTTGTATAGCATCTGTTAAGGTTCTACAACCCCACAAGTCACTTCATAACACAGTCCCCACCACACACATTCACTCACTGGTGGTAGTGATGATGCTGGCATTGTGAGTGGTACAATGGTCTACAAGTAGCTGGGGCAGCAGTAGTGGAGGAGGTTGTAATTGGAAGGTTGCAGGTTCAATCCCAGCTCTGGACAGAGAATTCTGCTGTTGTGTCCTTGGGCAAGCTGCTGCTGATGGTGGTCGGAGGGACTGATGGCTCCTGTGCACGGCAGTGCCGCCCCTGTCAGGACAGCTGTAGCTGCATTGTAGCTCATCATCACCAGTGTGTGACTGGATGAATGATAAAGCGCTTTGGAGTCCTCTGACTCTGAAAGGTGCTAAAAAGTTTGGGTCATTTATCACTTGCAAATCAAAAAATGTGTCCTGAATTAAAAAATTGGCCATCTCACAGTCTCCAATGTGCAATTTTTTTCTTCAAGTTTAATTTTTTTTATAAATCACAAACTTTGCGTGAAAAGTCACTTACATAGCTTTTTTAAATTAGACACTTTTAGGCACTTTCTTGTTGAACCTGCAGCAGACAAGGTCCCTTTTAAAGACTTGCCGACAGTCTTTTTCATGTATTTAATCAAGCAAGCCTGATTATGGAGTTGAAGAAACTAGTCACAGCTAAAATAAATAACACACACACTTACCTGAAATATGACAGCAATTGTTTTCAGTTGTTATATCTTTTGCTCTCAAAGTCAACATTTTATTTCTGGGGAATACCACAAAGCTCTGAGTTTTCTGCATTAAAAGTGTAGTATATTTCCCTCTGCGTTTTTGTGGTTTCCCCACATCACTGATGTGCAAGACCACTTTAAAAAAAGAGAAGAAAAATAAAAAGTGTGTGAACGTTTCCCGTTGTTTCCATTATTGTTGAGTGCACTAAATGGAAACTTCCATCTTCCATTCAAAAAAATGAAGAAAATAATTTTTTTTTCTCTCTTTAAATTTCAAAATGGACAGCCCAAACGTTTACGGAGGTTTGTTTTTTTCTTCCATGCAGGTCAGCCATTTGTTTGACAATGAGGGCACTGTGGCGTTCGCCATGTTCATGGCGATCTGGGGTGAGTCTAATGTCATCAGAGACATGTCACGTGAGCTGATGTTCTGGATGACTTGTTTGTTGTTGTTGTTTTTTAAATTTTTTGTTTCAGCTACACTCTTCTTGGAGTTTTGGAAAAGAATCAGAGCCACGCATGTCTCTGCTTGGCATGTCTATGACTGGTGTGAAGAAGAGGTGAGACTTATGCAGTGTTTAAATTATCAGACCAGTTGCCACAAGATCAGTCTTTTTCGTTTGGAAAGTTCTTTCCAAATGTTCTATTTTATGCTCCATGTGAAGGCAGAGTCATCTAATTCGGTGTAGTGTTGCTATAGCTTTTGCAAAATAAGCTAAATCTCACTACAGCTCAGAGTTTATTGGCTGGAGTCTGCTAGCGTGGAGGTGTGTATATAAGGCAAGAGATGCTAACATGATAGAAGTGTTAGCTGATTACTTTCCTGTAGTATTAACATGAGAGGACATGGAAATGTTACCATTGCTGCACTGAAACTCACTAGTCCAGAGCGGGTCAAAAACCCAACATTCACTTTAAGTTATCACGTATTTTCGTATCCGGAGTCGGGTCGCGAGGGCAGTAGCCTAAATCGAGAGGCCCAGACTTCTTTCTCCCCAGCCACTTGGGCCAGCTCCTCCGGGAGAATCCCAAGGCGTTCCCTGGCCAGGTGGGAGACATACTCCCTCCACCATGTCCTGGGTCTACCTTTAGGTGTCCTCCCAGTTGGACGTACCCGGAAAACCTCACCAGGGAGGCGTCCAGGAGGCATCCTGACCAGATGCCCGAGCCACCTCAACTGGCTCCTCTCGATGTGGAGGAGCAGCGGGTCTACTCTCAGCCCCTCCCGAATGACCGAGCTTCTCACCCTATCTGTAAGGGAGAGCCCAGCCACTCTTCAGAGAAAACTCATTTCGGCCGCTTGTATCCGAAATCTAGTTCTTTCGGTCACTACCCAAAGCTCATGACCATAGATGAGGGTAGGAACGTAGATCAACTGGTAAATCGAGAGCTTCGCCTTCTGACTCAGCTCTCTCTTCACCACGACAGACCGGTATAACGCCCACATCACTGCAGATGCAGCACCAATCCACCTATCAAACTCACTCTCCAGTTTTCCCTCACTCGTGAACAAGACCCAGAGATACTTAAACTCCTCCACTTGGGGCAGGACCTCATCCCTGACCCCGATAAGGCATTCTACCCTTTTCCGAATCAAGACGATGGTCTCAGATTTAGAGGAGCTGATTCTCATCCCAGCTGCTTCACACTCGGCTGTGAACCGCTCCAGCAAAAGCTGAAGATCACGTTCTGATGAAGCCAACAGGACCACATCATCTGCAAAAAGCAGAGACCTGATCCTCAGGCCACCAAAACGGATGCCCTCCACACCTTGGCTGTGCCTAGAAATCCTGTCCATAAAGCTTATGAACAGAATCGGTGACAAAGGGCAGCCTTGGCGGAGTCCAACTCTCACTGGGAAGGAGCCCGACTTACTTCTGGCAATCCAGACCAAGGTTTGACGCCGGTCAAACAGGGACCTAACAGCCCATATCAGAGGGCCTGGTACCCCACACTCCCGGAGTAACCTCCACAGGGCCCCCAAGGAACGCGGTCAAACGCCTTCTCCAAATCCACAAAACACATGTAGACTGGTTGGCCAAATTCCCACGCACCCTCCAGGATCCCCCTAAGGGTATAGAGCTGGTCCAGTGTTCCACGGCCAGGACGAAAACCACATTGCTCCTCCTGAATCTGAGGTTCAACAATCTGACGGACCCTCCTCTCCAGAACCCCTGAATAGACCTTACCAGGAAGGCTCAGGAGTGTGATCCCCTGTAGTTGGAACAAGGGGACCACCACCCCGGTCTGCCAGTCCAGTGGGACTGCCCACGATGTCCACGCGATATTGCAGAGCCGCGTCAGCCAACACTGCCCCACAACTTCCAGAGCCTTAAGGAACTCTAGGCAGATCTCATCCACCCCTGGAGCCTTGCCACAGAGGAGCTTTTTAACCACCTCAGTGATGTCAGCACCAGAGATCTGAGAGGTCAACCTAAAGTCCCCAGAATCTGCTTCCTCTCTGGAAGATGTTTCGCTGGGATTGAGGAGGTCTTCGAAGTTTTCTGCCCACCGATCCACAACGTCCTGAGTTAGGTCAGCAGCACACTGTCCCCACTATAGATAGTGTTGGTAGCGCACTGCCCCCCCCCCCCCCCCCCCCCCCCCCGCTGAGGCACCGGATGGTGGACCAGAATCTCCTTGAAGCCATATGGAAGTCTTGCTCCATGGTCTCACTGAACTCCTCCCACCCCCGGGTTTTTGCCCCCACTACCACCCGAGCCACGTTCTGCTTGGACTGCCGGTACCCGTCAGCTGCCTCTGGAGTCCCACAGGCCAAAAAGACCTGATAGGACTCTTTCTGTAGCTTGACAGCATCCCTAACCGCCGGTGTCCTCCAGCGGGTTCAGGGGTTTCCGCCACGACAGGCACCGACGACCCTGCGGCCACAGCTCCGATTGGGTCTCTGCTTTTTGCAGATGATGTGGTCCTGTTGGCTTGTGCCTTCCCCATGTGTATGTGTCCCTGTCTTCTGCGTCGGAGCTCTTGTCCCAGCTAGCCAGCAGACAGCTGCTCAGTGGGAGGAGAAAGCAGTGTTTGTGTGTGTGTGTGTGTGTGTGTGTGTGTGTGTGTGTGTGTGTGTGTGTGTGTGTGTGTGTGTGTGTGTGTGTGTGTGTGTGCAGCAGCAGAGGACAGGAGTTTCACGAGGACACACACAGCAAATTAATTAAATAATGTGGTTCAGAGTCTCCAAAAGCAACACAAGTCATGCCTGGCTTTGTTTATCTTACTATGGAGGACACCACAGACTTTCCTGTACGTATTAAATGCCACCCACAGTCTCGGGGATATCCACAGTCCTGAGAAATCCTTTGGATTTATGAGAACATTACACCGCCTAAATCTCCTCCCTTTCTGGTCGGCTCATGGGTCCCCGGAAGAAGAAAAAAATTAATGCAAGTTAATGGGGCTAAAATCGCTATTTTACTAATCCGCTTTGCCTTACGCCCTAGATCACACACATCTTGTACTGCAATTTAAATGAATAGTAACGATGGGTGTTTCGACTACGCCAGTCATGTACTTTGAGATTTATCAGTTTGTAAAAGTTTGTAATTATCAAATCAAATCAAATTTATTTCTGAAGCGCTTTTCATACAAGTGCAGCTTCAAGCGCTTTACAATATTAAAAACAACCAGACAGCAGTTGGTTTCCCACCCTTACCACACAGATTCACATACAAGATCCCATTTGTATCTCCCCCTCCTCCCACCCTCAATCCCATCCCAAGCAGATGCGCGCGCGCACGCACACACACACACACACACACACACACACACACACACACACACACACACACACACACACACACACACACACACACACACACACACACACACACACACAAAGGCAAAAGAGAAAGGGCTGCTGGCTGAGCACAGGTGTAGTAGGTGCAAAGAAGACGGAAACGCCATCAAAGGAGCCAACTGCACCGGGAGCAGCAGGATCGGCGGCAGCCCGGGCAAGAGGAGGCACGAGAAGCACCCTGGCAGCCACAGCCAACCGCTGCCCCCGGGGCAGCCGGCCCCCACAGAGGAAACACTGGTTTACTAATGAGATTAAGATAACAATCCCACCTCGACTCCTGAAAGAGGTGTTTCCTTTAATTAGCAATAACGTGCTAGGCATTATAAATAGTAGCCTGACATTGGCTGAAGTTCCTCGTGCCTTTAAACACGCTGTTCTACAGCCAATCTTGAAAAAACCCGGCCTTGATCCCACCGATTACTCTAATCTACGACCAATTTCCAAATTACCGTTTTTATCTAAGGTCTTTGAGAAAATAGTCTATGCACAGTTGATGAAACATCTAAATGAATATCAGGTAATGGACACCTGTCAGTCTGGTTTTAGACAACAGCACAGCACTGAAACTGCTCATGTTCGGGTGTTTAATGACATTTTTCTGGCTTTAGATTCAGGTTTCCATGTGGTTCTGGTACTTTTGGATCTATCTGCAGCATTCAACACGATCGATCATGACATTTTGATCACAAGACTTCACACTTGGGCTGGCATTTCAGGCACAGCCCTGGATTGGTTTAGGTCATACTTTTGTTACAGGTCTGCTAGGGTCATGTTGGATGGCTGTTCATCCGTCACAGCCTCTACGTTGGGGTGTCCCACAAGGTTCAATTCTCGGCCCGTTACTGTTCAACCTCTACATACTGCCCTTAGGAGCCATTTTCAGAAAGCACGCTGTCGCATACCATCTTTACGCTGACGACTGTCAAATCTACTTTTCATTTAAGCCAACTCAATCAACGAAAGTTCTGTCTGATTGTATCCTTGAGGTCATGCAATGGCTAGCTGACAACTTCCTCCATATCAATGACTCCAAAACTGACTTAATCGTTTTCAGTCCTTACAGTACCACGGCGACTCATCAACCTGACCTCAACTATCTCTCACCTAATGTATCCTCTGTAATCTCCAACCTTGAAGTAAAAATGGACCAGGCTCTGAAGATGGATGCCCAGGTCAATAACACAGTTAAATCATGTTTTTACCAACTAAGACACATCTCAAAACTAAAGCACATCCTGAGTGTCCGTCTTCTGAAATCAGTGGTCCACACTTTTATCACCTCAAGGCTGGATTACTCCAACTCCTGGTTATATGGCATCAGTAAAGCAGCTCTTTCTAGACTTCAGCTGGTCCAGAATCAGCAGCTAGGTTGCTGACTGGAGCTGACGGAAGACAACACATTTCTCCAATTCTGAAATCTCTCCACTGGTTGCCCGTGCAGTTCAGGATAAACTTCAAAATTATGCTTCTCACTTACAAATCCTTGAACCATCAAGCTCCTCCATATCTGTGTGAACTTGTCCATTACTACAACCCGCCGCGTGCTCTCAGGTCTGAAGATAAGCTCCTCCTAGCTGTTCCGAATGCTCGTTTAAAAAGCCGTGGAGAAAGGGCTTTCTCTGTCTGTGCACCGAAGCTGTGGAACACATTACCACTGCTAGTGAGTCAAGCACCAACAACTAGCATTTTTAAATCACGCCTGAAAACTCACTACTTCAACCTAGCTTATACCACATAATTATGGACCTCACT